AATGAGGAAAACTGTGGCTCTTTTCTTTTTTGGGGGGGGGCGGGAGGTGACAGGAGAACTTATTGGAAAGAGTCCCTCCTTATGTAAATCACCTTTTTCTAGAAAAGACATCAGGAAAACAGGCATCAGCATTAGCTGGGTGGCCCTTGAAGGGGGTTTGAAACTGGAAAGTATTTGATGAGTTCTGGGCGTCAGCCAGAAAACCATTGCGAAAGGCTTCGTGTTGCCACTTAGGTTACCGGCAAGAATTCCTCTCCTCTAGCACACTGTCGCTCAAGAGGGTCCACCCAAAGTCTGGAAAATATTTGGAGCCAACAGGGAAAAAAAGGATCTTTTCACTCCAAAAAGCCTTACACACTCAGCTCAATGGGCAGGACACCAGATCTGTTACATGGGACACTTCACAGCATTTACCTACAGTCTGGCTACTAATTCATGTGCAGCAGTGATAGCAACCATCATAACATCATTATCAAATTTCTAGTTCAGATGAATGCCAAAGTCTTAAAATAGAAACATTAGTTGCACTCTCAATCAACACCATCTAGTAGACACTTCTTCAGCGCAGAACTGGAATCAGCACAGGAGATAAGAAAAAATACTGACCTAAAAGTCTTGTGGGAGGCGCAGCTACAAAAAACAAAGTCGCAGAGTCACTTGTAATCAAAACATGAAGAACAGAAATACCAACCAAAATATATAGAGATGGAATCCAGAGATGGAATGCAAGGTTCACAGAAAGTGATAAAAACATAACTTTATTTTTTGGCTTTTAGTGTCTTTTAATTTTTTTTTAATTGAGGAGGAGGGGATAATCTTCACTTGCCCTGAATGGAAAATTGGGCAGATCCCTGACTTTTCAGTACACTCTTTGATAACTGACAATCCTTTAAGTAGTAGCCACTTTTTTAAAAAGTCTTAAAAGAAGAGTCTAGATTTAGTGATTAGAATGCATCCAGTTCAAAAAGGTAACCAAACATTTCAGTTTTCATTTTAAACTGTCAGTCTAATACAGAACTCCCCATCTGCCACACAGGCCTGGGGCTGATGGCCATCTGCCTCCAGCTTTCTCCTAAACTTATCCCTCCTACACTAGCTAACTGCTGCTTGATCTGCTGGTGAAAACACAAGAGATGGAATGGCCAAGGGGTGGGCAGTTCTTTGGTAGAATAGGTCTATCTCTGGCTGATGGTTAAAACTGACTTTTCTTTTGAAGGGAGCTTTTAAAGTTTCTTTTTGGAGATTCTTGTTGTTAGAGTATGGATCTGGAATGTCCCCTTAAAGGCTTGTGTGTTGAATGCTTGGTCCCCAAAGTAGCAGTGTTCCCAGATGGGTCTTTTGGAAGGTGACTGAATCATGAGGACTCTGACTTCATTGGTGGATCAATTCACTGATGGATTCGTAATTTGATGGCATCATTGGGAGGCGATGGAAACTCGGGAGGTAAGATGTAGTTGAAGAGAGACGCTCCTAAGAGTGTGCCCGGTGTAAATACCAAATAGTTTCTTTGGGGTGAAAAACTAAAAGTGTAAATAAGATTCAACTTGTATAACTGATAATGTGAAATAGGGAGAAAAGGGCTAAAGGGCTAGGGAAAGTGGGAAGGGCAGGGGAAAGGAAATAAGGGAAAAGAAAAAATATGAGAAAAGGAAAAAATGGAAACAAAGTCTTAGTAAATAGGGAAGGGTGGAGGGGTGAAGGGAGGGCAGGGGTAAGGGGAAAAAATAAGAACCAAGATGCATCACATAAAGGTACAAGATCCCAATGATGAATGTAACTGTACTGTATACCTAAAAAGAAACAATAAACTGAATGAAAGAAAGAGTGTACCCATGAGGACTATATCTTTTTTAATTAATTAATTGTATTGGTATATTTAAGGTATATAATAAAATAATATTCATTATTGGAAATTTGCATCTTTACATAATCCATCTTGCTTATTTTCCCCATTCCCCTGCCCTCCTTTCAACCCCTCCCCACCCCTCCCTATCTACAAAGACTTTAGTTTCCATTTTTTCTTTTTCTCCTGTTCATTCCATTATCATCTTTCTTTCCCTTACCTCTCCCATTTCCCCTTCCCTTTGCACCTTTTCTTCCTATTTCACATTATGTATTATGAAGACTATATCTTATCCCTGGCCTTTTCCTCTCTGGTTCTCTTGCCAGAAACAATGGAGTCAGTGGATCATGGACTGAAACTCCTGAAAACCATGAGCCAAAATAAATCTTTGTTCATTCAAGCTGGTTTTTTCTCAAATATTTTGTCACAGTGACAGAAAGCTTACTAATACATCTATCATCGGTGATCCCTTACTTGAGTCCCTCTGGCCCAGACAAGATAGATGCAAGTGGTGGCCTATGATAAGCTCTGGATTTTAGGATTCCTGTGTTCATCTCTAGCTTCTGGCCACTGAATCCCTTCATGTTCCCTAGATATCCCTTTTGAATAGGCCAAAGGCAGCCCTATATTATCTGCTTCCTCTATGGCCCACATTTAATGCAGAGAAACATTCACACATTCATGAACCCTGCTGATCTAGGAGAACTGGTGGATCTTATACCTACTCTGTGACTTGAGCCTTCTGTAATTTATAGGAAAGAGCTAGTGTGGTCCTCTATTTTATGTCTCTCTCCCTACACTCTCTTGATATCATAAGGTAGAACAGTTCTACACTGACTTTGTACTTACAAACCTTTTTGAGTTATCTTTTTTTTTTTTTCTTTTGGTACCGGGGATTAAATTTGGGACTTTGTACTTGTGAGGCAGGCAGTAGAACCACTGAGCTAAATCCCTGGCCCTTGAGTTACCATTTTTAATTGCAATTGATAATGCTCATAATTCACCTCCCAACCCTTGATAGTAAGGAATTGTGCCTCTCCATGTCTTCTGTATACAGCTGAGCACAGAGCCTGGAACAAAGTAGATGCTCAGTAAATGTTTGGCGAACAGATGGATCTGAACCAACTTTTGTTGTGCAGTGCATTCTCAGAGATGCTTTAAAATAACCTATATGGGTAGCTTATTTTACCACACCCGGGCAGACTCCATTCACTCATTCCTACATTGATTAAATATTGATACATCCCCGAACTTGTATACCTTAGCATTTTCCAGCCAAGTAATGTGAGAAATAAAACAATACAGTGGGGAAATTCATTTTTTTCAAAGAAGAAATGGATAAATTCACATTACCTATTTCAGGTTTTTGGAAAAGTTATGAGACTTCAAATTAAGACTTCACAGGAAAAAAATATCCCCTAAAGCTGCAGAAATTGCTCATATTGTTTGAGTGGTTTGTTTGAAAACCCTAAAATTACCAAATAACAAAGAAAAATTAGATTTTAAATATTTGACAAAGATGTGTAAAATACAGGTAATGAACATGAGGCCTTTATTATACTATTCTCTCATTTTTTCTGTATGTTTGAACATTTTAAAATAAAAACAAGATTAAAAATTGAAGCTCAGAAACATCCCAGTCTTTTCCCTGCTTTAAAGAGGAAGCATGGTGGGCATACCTGTAATCCCAGCTACTTGGAAGGCTGAGAAAGGAGGATCGCAACATCAAGGTGAGACTCCATAATTCAGCAAGAACATGTCTCAAAATAAAAAATAAAAAGGGCTGAAGATGTTGCTCAGAAGTAGAGTGCTCTTGGTTTCCCTAGTATTCCCTAGTATGGAATAAAAAGAGGCACCAGAAAAAGCAGAAGCAACAAAAACAGAAAATTAAGAAACTATGTAGCCAAACATGGCGGCACAGGCCTGTAACCCCAGCAGTCAGGATAAGGCAGGAGGATCACCTTGAGTCTGAGGCCAGCCTGGGCTACATAGTGAGTTCAAGGCTAGCCTGAACTACACAGCAAGACCCCATCTGAAAACCAAAACAAAACAAAACAAAAAACAACTATGTAGACTTTGCTATCATATAATTAAACATTTATAGCACCCATTAAATCATCAATATGGAACAATAGTATAATAATAATGAAGCTGTTTGTACTTGAACTACAGAGTAAATGTTTTTGGAAGCAAGAGCTGTGACTTTGGAACTGGGTTGAATCAGAATCCATCGAAACTGAAGAATATTTAGAGATCATTTTAGCCAACACTCTTACTTTACAAATTAGAAAATTAGTAGCCAGAGAAAAGAAATGAAATAACTCATCAATCTCTGATACTCTAGTCTTATACTCTTTTGATCTCAACGGGTTCGATTTTGGGCTTGTTTTTTGTTTTTTGGAGCAAGTTATGGGAGTAGAAGAAGGGGTACCGCTATTTAAACAGAGAGCCATTTACACCGCCGCGCTCACAGTCGGCCTGTGTAGGCTGCTTCACTTTTCATGCATCAAGGCACATCACTTAGAGGTCTCAGTATCTCTGCCTGGGAAGGGTTATGGTCGACATTTACAGCTTTTTAGCCCTCAATATTTTTAATTCTACACTTCTTGGGTGGTTGAGATTGTCTTGTCCATCGTTCACTTTTGAAAGAGGGTGGACAATATCCATGCGGGTTCTTTAGGGTATAGACTCATTCTGACACCATGAATAATGCTGCTAGTTCTTTTGTTTGCCGAAGACATTCCTTACCAACAGTTTCATCTCCTAAGCAACTGAACCACTGCGGAGCTAGTGCACGAAATCAGTGTTTAATGGCGCGAGTCTGGGACCTCTGTGAGAATGAGTCGCCCGAGTCCATCTCCGATGCAGACAATGGGTAGCAGGGGAAAGAGTGGTGGGACGGACCCACTGCGGGCCAGCGCCACTCCGGCGCGGCCATGCAGAACTGGCCCGACAGCCAGGGTTCGTGAGCTTCTTTCTTGTCGCAGGACCAAGGCCCGAGATCCAAGGCTGTGACAGACTGCGCGAGATCGGCTGAGGTCCTAGCTTTTGGGTCAGGGTAGAAAGAAAGCCGCTAGCTAGGGCCCAAGGAAAGAGTACGGTGCCCATGACTGCGCAGGCGCACCGGGCTTTCTGCGACTGGTCAGCCCGGAGGCGCCCCGCCTACTCGGTCCAGCGTCCTGTAAACGAACGCGCCCTAGCACCTGCAGTTTCTGCTTCCGGGTCGCGCATTGACAGCGGCTTTCCAGACCCAGCTCAACCTGAGGTTCGGTGAGTGCGGTCGTCTTTGTCTAAAGGTCAGCAGCTAGGGCTCCGAGCCCGGTAGGGCGCGCCCAGTTACGCTTCCTCTGCTGCGCTCGAGGCCTGCGAGCTCTCGAGGCCGAGACATCCTTCCGGGTCTTCGGGGAGATGGGAGGGGGTTGGGCTGCGCCTGGGGATCCCGGGACACAGATTGCACAACTCCGGTTTACTGCCTGCACTGGAGACCTGACGGGATTGCAGCGATGTGTTGGAAGGCTGTGCTGACAGTGACAACACACGACCTTGCATTCCTTGCCCTTGCCCTCCACCCCCTGGCTTTGGAAAGGCGACGCTGCCGCGAGCCCTCCCGCAGCAGGTGCGGTGGGGTCGGAGCGCCTCTGGCTGTCACCGAGGGGTGGAGGCCCAGGCCCTCCTAGCATCAGAATTGTTGAGGCTGTTGAGTGCCGTCTCTCTTGTGCTTGGATTTTAGCTTCGCGATTTAAAAAAAAAAATGTTTAACCTATTGATGTTTTCTCTAGATCCAGCAAAGAAGGAAAACGGGGTTTGGCGGAAGGAGCTTTCAGTCGGTCCCAGCAGAGGGAAGGGCCCTTAGGAGACAAACCGAGCACAGGCTAATAATGACCAGAGTGAGGATAGATTTAGGTCTCCTTAGTGCTTCCTGATAGTGAATGTTGTCCATCTGCCCCAGAGTTTCACCCTCACCTGGAGCTTCGAGGCAGCAGGAGAGAACCACTTGGTCATACTTATGAAAAGTTCTTAGCCTGGAGGCCACGAGCACCCTAAAAGTGAATCAGCGTTTAGTTTCTTCAAATTATTCTGTCCCAGAAACTGTTAACAGAAGCACTTTTCTCCAAGTCTACTTTAGATGCTTGTATTTCCCCCTGGTATCCGGATTGAATTTAGGCCCTTGCACTTGTGAGGAGGGCGTGGCATCACTGAGCTATATCCCAGGCCCTGCTTTTTTTTCCTTTTTTGCCCTCATTCTTGGACTCTCCAACTCAAATGGACCTTTTTGCCCGTACCCCACAAAGAAGTCTCAGGAAGTTAAGATATGTATGAGTGTGTGTGTGTGTGTGTGTGTGTGTGTGTCTGTGTGTGTATGGTTGACACTTACATACACGTAGGTGTTGGGGATGGAACCCACGACCTTGTAAATGCTAAGCATATGTTCTATCACTGAGCTTTATCCCCAGACCTGTGTTTATTTATAGATACAAATGACTACTGATTAGCAAAAAAAAATTAGGGGAGTTAATAATATGTCACTGAATGTATAAAGGGTTATCCTATCACAAAAAGCAAAACTTTTATGTTATAAAATGACAAATATTTTTTAGATTTTTCCCTTAGTAGTCATCATATGCATAACATGCTTACTACTTACTGCAAGCTTTGAATTTTATTACAATTTAAGGGAATAAGCTTTACATTGGTTCAACAAGTATTGAGGACCTATCTTATGCCAGGTACTATTGGGAAAAAAAACTTCACTCCTAAGAAACATATTTTAGCAAGAATATAAGTTCCTAAGCAGTTACACATAAAGAGTTGGTATTACATATATTTTCTGTAGTTTTTTTTTTTTCTTTTTTTGAGACAGGGTCTCACTATATAATTCCCTTAGTGCTGGGATTACAGGCAGGAGGCACCATGCAGTTTTTTGTGTTTTGTGGTGTTTTGTTTTGGTACCGAGGATTGAATTCGGATCCTTGCGCTTGCAAGGCAGGCCACTGAACTGCTGAACTAAATCCCTGGCCCTTACCATGCAGTTTTGATATGCAATTTTTCACAGAAATGAACCATTTTACTGGCTATAACTTTACATATTTCCTAACTAGTATCTTGTGTAGTCAAAATTTTTATCATTGTTGAATTCAAGTATATTGCATTACAGTATTTTTTGTTATCCTAGAACTCAGCCATATTGAGGATTAAACGTGTGTACCCAAATCTATTTCTCAGTTGTCATAAGTTGTCAATTTTTAACATTCTAAATTCATTTAAGCCAAGCATAGTGCACATGTCTGTAATCCTAGCACTTAAGAAGCAGAGACAAGAGGATTGCTGTGAGTTCAAGGTGAGATTGCACTACATAACAAGACTCTGTCTCAAAAAAATTTTTTTCATTTTAAATCTGCTTATTTTCCTAAAACTGAAAGTGATTGTTGTGAATTTTGGTTTGTTTGTTTCTTTCTTTTCTAATTTTAAGTAGATGACTCCAAGTAGATGACTCCGTAAGACTTTTGGGCTGGGGATTTGGCTTAGTGGTTCTACCACCTGCCTCACAAGTGCAAGGGCCTGAGTTTGATCCCTGGTACCAAAATATTAAAAAATATTTTTTAAAATTACACTTTTGCTTTCATTCTTATTTTAGAATATTACCTCAAATATTTCCTGTTTTTCCTTGAAAATCTTTCACAGATGCCTTATCATTAAGTGTATTTGTTTCATAACTTTCTCCTCTCTTTTCACAGATAACTACAATCACTTCCATACCTTTTACTCAATCAACCAATCAGTATTTGTTAATTACCTATATTACATGAATAAAAGAGTAAAGAGCAATACTCTTCCCTTCCAGTTGATTACAGTTTAGATGGTTGCATAACTGTACTACAAGGAAAATATAATAAATATGCCAGGAATTTGGCTCAGTGGTTCCACTGCCTGCCTCGCAAGTGCAAGGGCCCGGGTTTGATCCCTGGTACCAAAAAAAAAAAAAAAAAAAAGGAAAATATAATAAATATGCCAGGAATTTGGCTCAGTGGTTCCGCTGCCTGCCTCGCAAGCGCAAGGGCCCGGGTTTGATCCCTGGTACCAAAAAAAAAAAAAAAGGAAAATATAATAAATATGCCAGGAATTTGGCTCAGTGGTTCCGCTGCCTGCCTCGCAAGCGCAAGGGCCCGGGTTTGATCCCTGGTACCAAAAAAAAAAAAAAAGGAAAATATAATAAATATGCCAGGAATTTGGCTCAGTGGTTCCGCTGCCTGCCTCGCAAGCGCAAGGGCCCGGGTTTGATCCCTGGTACCAAAAAAAAAAAAAAAGGAAAATATAATAAATATGCCAGGAATTTGGCTCAGTGGTTCCGCTGCCTGCCTCGCAAGCGCAAGGGCCCGGGTTTGATCCCTGGTACCAAAAAAAAAAAAAAAAAAAAGGAAAATATAATAAATAACCTAAAGGTGATGTTGATAAGAAATAACATTCGGAGAAGGAAAAGAATATTTTAAGGTTATCTTCAGCCTTGAAAAGAATCGTGTTCCTTAATGAGTCATATAAATCACACAGGGCTTTGTGGAGGTCTTAGTATTATACTTGGCAGGGAAATTGTATGCTAGTCTAAGTTAGAGAGCAGAGCAGAGATCCTGAAGGCCAGAGCATTGGCATCTAGCTTTACTCAGCACCCCAGAAACTCTGATAATGTAGCTCCTTGTGATTAGAGAAGTGGAGTTAATCACTGATCTCTTTGACATCTGCTTTTCATATTGGGAAGGCCTAGAGGATGCTTAACCCTAGGGACAGATGTGCTCAGTGATACGGTATGTGCCTAAAACTCCTTTGTCTCAGGCAGTTTGGAGCATGTGAACACACTTTGAGCCTTGATGAGTTCCAGTATGTGGTATATCATGCAGAGCATTCAGAGCAAATACTCTCTCTCGGAACGCTTGATCCGAACAATCGCCGCCATCCGCTCCTTCCCACATGATAACGTTGAGGACCTCATCAGAGGGGTGAGTGTGCTGTATCCTTGCAGAGGGGAAATGGAACAATGGCTGGTGAATCCTAATAGATTCCAGATTTGCAGCTCTGACTTAGTACAAGATCACAGTCTTAACAGCCTTCTAAAATATATTAACTTGACCATTAAAATATGTTTGCACCTACATTTTACTTTGCTTGCTTTCTCCCCGCCGCACACACACACGCTCTGGGAATCTGATAGTTTTCTACCTGAAATATGTTCTAGGCAACCCTAATCTCAGGTTCTTTGTAACACCACTCTCTGGGTATAGTATATATGGAAGCTATCAGGCTCCAGGTCTTCACACGTCTTTTCGTAAGGGTGGTAGAAAGTGAGCAAAGCAGAGGTGTTTTTCACATTCTTATGAGCTTTTCTCCACATCTGGGTATGATAACTGCATGGAATAGAGTTCGCTTTTCTTGTATCTTACAATAGCTGCCAGATCTGCTTGGTAGAGAACACCCACCTCTAAAATGCATGGTAATTGTAGATGAGGACAACACTTCATCTGGTATTTTGCCACTGCTATTCAATAATTGTTATATGACCAGTATCCTACAAGGTCTTTCGTACCCTATTGTTTTTATTCCTGTTGAAGAGAAGTTACAGAGATTTTTTTTTTTCCCCACTAGAAAATGTAACCCTCTTCAACTACTTTAGGATTCTGGTTTATATTCCTGAGCTCTGTAGCTGCTTCAGAGTTTTGTGGCACAGCCACAGAAGGAGGGCAAACAGCGTCAGTTTATTCTCAGCAAAAGTGGGATCAGAATATTTAGCGGTAGCAACTTTGTCACGTTCTAATTCTAGCTCTGCTGCTGAGTCATTCGGTGACTTTGGTCTGACTGGTATCTCTGTCTCCTTCATATTAAGAATACAAGCACTTGATTTGGATTAGGTGGCAGAGAATGCTGAGACCAATAGACCACCTTGGTGATGTTTGTTTATAAATAAACAAAAATAGCATTAAGATGAAAACATAACACTACTGCTAGTGATGGTCATTTGTTGAATGGCAAAAAGAGCATGCCACTTCTGCCAGTTGGATAGACTCATGACTTTTTCAGAACATGGTAACCACAGAAAGTAGATCACTGGTCCAGCTTTCCTGCCGCTGATAAAGTTCTCATGGGTTTTACACATAAGGTTATGTCCTCAGTGATCTACGAGTGACCATCTTGGCAGGCTAATTTGTGGAGAAACTTCATAATTTGATCTAAGGAAATGACAGTTCCTTGCCTCCCTCTTCAGGGTATTCCTCTGGTTTAGACAATGGCGTTATAATACTATTTAATTCATGTAAATAGGAACCAGGAAACAGTAGTATGTTTACAATCTAGTCAAGGTTAGAACTCCTCCCCCAGGTCTGAATCTGTCTTGCTGGGTGAGCCAGAGCTGAGCACACTGACTGAAGCTTATTTCTTTTTACAGGGAGCAGATGTGAACTGTACCCATGGCACGCTGAAGCCCCTGCACTGTGCCTGTATGGTGTCAGATGCTGACTGTGTGGAGTTACTCCTGGAGAAAGGAGCTGAGGTAGCGTTCTCAAGGCTGTCACATTAACAATTCGTGGAGATCTGAGCTTCGTATTTTCTTAGAATTTTCTCTTTGTGCTTCTGGTCTGACCTTCTAGCTCATGTTAACATTGACATAGCTGATATTAAAGGGAAAATGAAATGGTAAATCTATGAAATAATCCTAAAGGGGCAGAGGATTATTTAGCTCAGTGGCACCGCACCTGCCTGGCAAGTGCAAGGTCTTGAATTCAACGCCTGATACCACACACGCACAAAAAAAAATCCTAAAGATTTCATTCCTTTTACTTTCTGTCTTCCCTTTATTTTATCCATGGCTTCAAAAACACTTTTGAGGGCTGGGGATTTAGCTCAGTGGTTACGCCAACTGCCTTGCAAGCGCATGGACCCGAGTTCCGATACCCGGTACCAAAAAAAAAAAAACTTTTGAAACACTATCTCCCCTTCTCTCCCAGCTTACCTCTTTGGGATTGTTTCCCTTTCTGTTGTATCCTCTTTTTGCCTGTGGATTGTCCAGAAGCTGTAAATGCAGAAGGCCCTCTATTGCCATTAAATCTAAACCATTTGAAACTTCCCGTCAGACGGATACAATTGGAGAGACAGTTATCATAAAGCAGCTCTTTCCTCAGGACTGGGCTACTTGTGTTATTTATGCCTGCTAGTTATTTTGTCTTGTCTTCCTTTTAATCTATCTTAAGATTAAAAACCAAAAGTTAATTTTTGAAAGTAGACACAAAGTGGCTGGGGATTTGGCTCAGTGGTTTGCGCAAGGTCCCAATTTCAATCCCTGGTATGAAAAAATAAAAAAAAAGAAAGAGAGAGAAGGTGGGGGAGAGAGAGAAAGAGAGAAAGACACAAAGTGGCATGATATAGTGAATAGTTAAAGCAATAGACTCTGCAGTCATAGTTCATGGGATTCAGATTCTGGTTCAAACCCTTCCAATCATGTGACCTTGAACACATTCTTTAAGCCTTTCTCTGCCATTTCCCATCTATAAAAGAATGATAATGATATCTTTTTCATAGGTTATAAAGTATTTGGAACATAGCATGTAGTAACTGCTAGATAAATGTTATTAAATGAATAAACTAGCCGTTTGACCATTTGTGAGCAGCCTTGAGCATGTGTATGCTGAGGTACTGAGTCAGATGAACCGTGGAGCCAGTGTGCAGTCCCAACACATGGGCCAGTAAGCCCAGGCCCAGGCCCTGCCATCCTCGCCTCCACACAGCCGTGCTGCTCCTTCCCTGTCACTAGCTGTTCCATGACTTTTGTAGTGAGTCACTGTCCCTGAAGGGAAAACTGAGCGTACCTTGAAGTGATTAAAGCCAGTGATCAAAGTGAAATATTAGGGGGGAGGAGGGAGAGTTAGCCAGATAAAAGTTGGACTCACTTAAATGTTTCAGTTTTGCTGCATTGCCCTTTATGGGGGAAGATAATATGCTGTTATAAATTTGGGGATATGAAATAAAAAATTGCAGGGCATACTAACTTTCAGCAAGCTGGCTGATTGTCCAGTATTGGAAGATTTGTGCTCTCCATCCCCATGTTTTCTTCTGGGTTCTCTTGTTAACCCACAGCATAGTTTTGCAAAGGCCTGACTTTAACATTCTAGCATGGTTACAGAACATAGCAAAACTGTACGGGCAGAGCTTTGGCCTTACTATTTTTCATTTTGATTACCTCTAGGAATAGGATGCAGAGTCAGGAAAGATAAAGTAATGCAGAAAACTCTTTAACTATTTAAGATGCTCCCTAGTGACTTTATTCAGAGTGGTTTCGATGCCTTGAACTTCATCTTTTCCTACCTGACCTCTTACTCTGTGGTAGAGATTCTAATGAAAACAGACAGAACCGAGTGGTTCTAAATCGTGCACAGCTGCTGGTACATGTAGTGTCAACTGTTTTGGGAGAGTGCTTTTCCACTTCCTCTTAGCTCCTGTCACGTCTGTCTTGATCACCAAGCTTCACGGGAATTGCTTTTGGACTCTCTTGCCCAGAGCAATGCAAAGGAAAAGTTCCTTGCTTTATTCCTTTTTTCCTCTCAGTAGTTCTATCTACTGTTAACCTAGTTCCTCCTTTCTCACAGGTGAATGCCCTGGATGGTTACAACCGAACAGCCCTCCACTATGCAGCAGAGAAAGATGAGGCTTGTGTGGAGGTGCTGTTGGAGTATGGTGCAAACCCCAATGCTCTGGATGGCAACAGAGATACCCCACTTCACTGGGCTGCCTTCAAGAACAATGCTGAGTGCGTGCGGGCTCTCCTCGAGAGTGGGGCCTCTGTCAATGCCCTGGATTATAACAACGACACACCACTCAGCTGGGCTGCCATGAAGGGAAATCTGGAGAGCATCAGCATCCTTCTCGATTATGGTGCCGAGGTCAGAGTCATCAACCTAAAAGGCCAGACGCCCATCTCCCGCCTAGTGGCTCTGCTAGTCAGGGGACTTGGAACAGAGAAGGAAGATTCCTGCTTTGAGCTTCTCCACAGAGCTGTTGGACACTTTGAATTAAGGAAAAATGGTACTATGCCACGAGAGGTGGCCAAAGACCAGCTGCTGTGTGAAAAGCTGACTGTGCTGTGTTCAGCCCCAGGAACTCTAAAAACACTGTCACGCTATGCTGTGCGCCGTAGCCTGGGACTCCAGTATCTGCCAGATGCAGTGAAGGGCCTTCCACTGCCAGCTTCTTTGAAGGAATATCTGTTACTTGTAGAATAGGCCAGAGAAGACACTTGTACTATCATGCAGGCAAATCTGGGTGAGGTTATCCCACCATCTTTATCCCAGTACCATCTTTTTTTCATGGAAAACAGAAAAGCATTTGTTCCAATAATGTGTTTCATAGACTTCAAGGCAATATGTCACAGCAGTAACCTTCACACCTCCTCCTCTTCCCATACCAAGCAACCAAATCAAAAGACTCCTCACTTTTGTGTGCTCTTACTACTTACTTGGCTTTTTTATGTTGCACTCTGCAAAAGAAGAGGTCTTCCCCTCCACTGCCCCTTAAGGAAAGAGTCAAGAGTGCAACTAAATTTCTCTAGGCAAGTGAAATGTGTTTAAGGAATATGTGTGTGGTTTTCTGGGATGGGGGGTGGACATGATATAACACTTCAAGAAAATCCTTTGTAAGCTTTTTAATTGATGTGTGAAGAAGAAAAATCACAGTTCTGGTTAACAATAATTGTGTCCCAAGTATGAAGTTACTCCAAACCCTGTTGGTGTGCAGATTCAAAATTGGGCATTCTGAAAGAGTTAGAGCCATTCAGCAGCAGTGTGCTTTCACAAAGGTGTCTGGCTGCTCTCCCCACTGAAGAGAGCAGATGCTAAGCAGTCCTAAGAACTGAAAGTCCTGAGCCATTCTAAAATGGCTCTCTTCCCAAAAGCCAGTTTGCAGATATTTTCTGCATCTCTGCTGAAGCTGAGGGAGGACAGACTGGCCTACCTTTTCCCATGGATCTTATTCATTCCCTATGGGAAACTCGCTCTGCTAAGAGATTGGAGCTGTTTTTCTTTCCATTATCTTGGAACCTTTGATTTTGAATAAAAGGCATTGTTTGGGGGTAGGGTTGGGAAGGGAATGGGCAAAGAATGTATCAGAGCTTCTCTTGAGATGGCCCACCAAGATCTGTGTTAATGAGGAGTACTCACAAACACTCATTTTCCTAAACTAGATCAAGTTGTTATTGATCTTAGATGAATATGTAAATTTGACATTTTTTTTAAAAAAGCTGGTTGGGAACTACAAACAAAATGAGATCTGCTGCTAATTGAAAAACTATGTCTGCTTTTGTCTTTTGTCCGTTAAAAAAAAAAGGTTCTAAAAAAGAAGTTTGGCAATTTGTTTCTACTTTTCTCCATTCTCCCTCCTGCTGCTTATCAAAAGTTCTTTATTCCCTGGCTTTTGAATGTACCTTTTTATTTCAACTTCTCTGCCATCAGCAACAGTGATCCTAGCATTGTTGGAGTAAACAGAAGGGCCTGGAAAGAGTATTTGAAAAGCCTTCCCTTCTTTTATGCCTCCTGCCACCCCCCAAATTTAGAATTATTGCTCATTTTCAACCCCAGTTGCGCATTAAGGCCACTGGGTTTTTAAAAAACATGTGCCAAGATTTCACCACGTACCAATTATTTAGAATTTCCTGTGTAGGGCTTAAGTTTCTTCACATGTTTCTAGTATGTGGCCTGAAATGAGATCCAATGATTTTAGACAGTAGTACTCCAGCTTAGTTATTAGAGCCACCTAAGGAAATTTTTAAAAGACTGTACTAAGGCCTGGGCTCCACACTGAGATTTAGTTGGTTCAAAGGGGGCCTGAGTGTCAGTATTTTAAAAGGTAACCCAGATAATTCACTTTCAGTCTAAACTTAGGAACCACTGCTTTAGATGCTATTTCATTTCTCATCATAGAAACTCGGGGCAGTCTGGAAAGGAAGAATATTTTGTCCATGTGGGAAAGATTTTAACTTTTTCCTGTGACTTCATAATCACTCATGTGGTTGATGGCGGATAAATTATGCTTCAACCCCACTTAGCTTAAAGTTTCACTTGTCTTGTTCACTCTGGGAAATGGCATGTGCTTAATTGGTTTGGGGTTTTGTTTCTAAGTGGTCTTCACTGTTTTTTTTTTTTTTCCTTCAGATCATATGATCCTAAATGTTTTTTACTGTGTACACAGTGACGTTTTTCTTCTGTGATTAGCTTTCCACCTAGCTATCCATCTCATCACTTTCTCAAGGAAACTGCTTCAGTATTAAAGATAGAGAAGAGAACCTATTAATAAATGGTAGTTAGCACTTAAAATGTTTGAAGTCAGGCATGGTGGTACACACCTGTAATAACAGCATTCTGGAAGGCTGAAGCAGTATCTTAAATTCAAGCCTAGTCTGGACAACTTAGTGACTTTGCAAAACCTGTCAAAAAAAAAAAGAAAGGGCCGGAGATTAAGTTCAATGCAAAGGCCCTCTATCCTTTGTACTATTAAATAAGTAAAGTGTTTGAGCTTTCCTTTTATCCTCATGGTTTTTTGGATTTGAAGTAGCATGATAGGGAATGAGGATGGCTTTGAAATCAGAACTGAATTTGATTCCCAATTTTATTAGACTGGGAGACCTGGGAGATCTGATCTTATCACTGTTAGCTTGTGCCCTTATATCTGAAGTGAACTGTCAACACTCTCCCCATAAAGCCATTTTTAGGATTCAATAATAACGTGTAAAATGCCTAACAACACACTTCGTGTTTACTGTTAGCTTCTTTTCCCCATAAAGAATTGTACAGCATTTGGCTGCTTTCATTTCAGACGCTGATAAGCCTTCTCTGACTACTTAGTACTGTTTTAATGGTACAGTACTGACACGTACTTTGAGCACCAGCAAAAGTGATGTAATAGAGAAAAATCCCTTCTTCCACCCCTTGTAATACAGTAAGTCCCCAACTTAATGAGTTCCATTTCACAAGAATGTTTATAAATTGAATTTGTTTGTAATCCAACAAAGTGAGTCATATACAGTACACCTGTGAAAGTTCACAACTCAAATGTTCCTAAGTTGGGGACTTACTGTACCCTGAATGTCTTTCCTGCTTCATCAGGCAAGTGAGGAAACTTGGGAGGAAGGTGCTTGTGCTGAGAGCCACAGCCTGGTTACTGGAGGCTTAGCTTAACATGGCTTTAAGACAGGGGAGCCCCTGTCAACCTAGGGTACAGTCTGTAGTCCCAATCCCAAAGACCAACTGCATTCCATGGGCACTTCAGTAATGAGGAGGAAGAAAGAGCCACTATGGAATGGAAGACGGGGTGCAACTGAGTAAGAAGTGACATCTTTCCACCCAACCCACCGAATTAGGTGTAGGACTGGTGGTATTTTCCAGGATTTCAAAATACACGTATGTTTCCCACGAAGGTTCTGACAGATGGAGTCTGGCTTTCATCCAGGAAGGAGTGTAGAGAAAAAGTAGAGAAAGAAAAACTCAGGGGGGCGGGGTGTTAAAAGAGCAGATTGTGGGATGGCTGGAAACACAACCCTGGGCAGTGGGTGTATGACAAGAGGGGAAACGACATTATGCTTAAGGGGCACAGGAGGGTCTTCTTGGCTGCACTGGATGTAGGAAGGATTGGTGAGGGGTGAGGATGAGGGCGAGTATACTGTGTCCTGAGTCCCTATGAGCAGAGAGATACTGCAGAAAAATAATCCAATGGACAGAAAAAGGTGTTTGTGGGCTATTTTCCCAAGGGTTCTGTCTGGGGAGGTGTGACACAGAGGGTGGACAGGGTTACATTTCACTTGAAAAGATGACAGCAGGACCAAAAGCACAGTGACCAGGGCAGGGGATTTAGCTCCGTAGTTCCACCACTTGCTTCACATGCAAAAGGTCCCGAGTCCGATCTCCGATACCAAACAAACAAAAGCACAGTGACCAGATGGCCTTTATTAGTGTAGTTACAATTTGTCCTTGTGGTAAAAGTAGTAGAGGAACTAAGACTCTTATCACAAAGACATAAATAAAGCTTATTTTTAGGAAAATTCTGAGTAGCTGACATCTAGCAGTAGCAGTAGAGGAACATAGCCTGTGTAACAGATGAAGCTGGGCCAAAGTAATGGAAAATTCCACCTAGGAGACTTCATTCACTGTCCCCTCCCCAAGCTCCTGGCCAGAACTGATCATGGTTATAGGATAAAAGGAAACCTAATGAAAAAAAGAGCTAAAACACTAAAAAATGTGGATTTAGACCTAGCAGGGGGTGAGCTGACCATGATCAGATAATCTGTACCCCTCACTCCAAAGAAGTCTAGACAGTAGCTTCCCCAGACCGCTTCCGAGAGATGTGCTCCAGGTGGGCATGGTCTGACGTATCCAAGTCAATCTCGTACTTGGCTAGGATTTTGAGGATGGGCCTCAGCTTCAGCCACCACTGTTCCTTGGGAATTCGGTGCCTACAAAGAAGTGAGACAGATGATACAATCTTTTAGCATCCACATCAACTTCTACCAAAGACTCTTGGGGAGAAGCTGGGCAGAAGAAGTTGGTCTTAGGTCATGGTCATCAAAGCTGAAGTGGGTAAGTCTACAGGTGTTAGTCCTAAAAGAAAAGCAGTGAAGACAAACAAAAAATAGAGCTTGAACTACCAGGGAGAGGGTCATCCTAGAAAGCAGACAGAAGTACTCACTCAAAATCTGTCTGTTCCTGTAGCTCAGTCACTGGTTGAAAGACCAGGGCCCTTTTACGCATTCCCAGAACACAGCCTGAGTCTGGAGTATTGGCAAAGATCCGTCCTGCAATAAAGGGTGGTCAGTCAGCTTCTATGGTGGGAGGTCAACCTCTAGAGAGGGGGCACACCCTCACCCAACCTACCATTACGGTAGCTCTCTTTGATTTTCCCAGACATCCAGTTCATAGCCTTAGCACCCATTTTAGTGGCAAAATTCCTGTCAAAGGGAGTTGGACTCCCACCCTGAAAAATGGAATTATAAAAATTAGGAAGGCTTATAAGAATTTAGAAGTCTATGACAAGGGGAAAAAATGAGAATCAAGACCTATTATGTAAAGGTACAGAATCCCAATGATGAATGTAACTGTATTGTATACCTAGATTGTACCAATAAACTCAATAAAAAGAAAAAAAATTATATTGGAATTTAGAAGTCTATGAAAGGATACCCTAAAACAGTATGGGGATCCGTGGTAAACTACTCATTTATCAAGAATAAGAGTGGGCTGGGGATTTAGCTCAGTGGTGTTGCCGCCTCCCTTGCAAGTGCAAGGTCCTGAGTTTGATTCCCAGTATGGTTAAAAAAAAAAAAAAAAAAGGGGAATAAGAGTAAG